TTAATTTGGCAGAGAAAGTTTATCAGTAAACTTTGCCTTACCTTAGTATATTATTCTTAAGGCTTTATATTTGAGAGGTCTAAAATATAAAAGGCTGTAAATTATCTACTGAACTGATCAACTTCATTTTTTAATGTTTTTTTTAAATTGTAGTTTACATTATATTTTTATCTCCAGGTATTTTATTACGAGGCCAAAATTGTGCACTGCTCTTAAAGAAGCAGTCTTGAATCCTTTTTTTTTTTGCAACAAATCGCCTGATACTTAAAGATCTGTGGCGTTTGTGCTATACTGATTGGTTGTAACATTAGTACAGGCATTTTATTGCAACTGCTGTGTTGCCAATTATAATTCTAATCTGCAACACAGTAGTAAATCTACATTGCAAAGTAAAGAAGCCCTTATTGGATTTATTAGTTTCTATGTAACCATTTTAAATGTTTTATTTGTGCATATGTTATGTGCTATTTTATGTTATATAGTCAGTTGTTTTGGTTCCTGCAAATGGTGTAAAACCTATTGAGACAAAACAAATAAAAAATAAATACAAGGCAACGTTTCTTGTTTTTTTTGAGTGTGCTTATTTTATCACTTTGCTGACATATCAAATTCTCCACTTCAATGTATATAGGGTTGCTTGCTGTCTGTGTACTTTGCAGTAACATGACTCTTATATCTCTGGATGTATACAGTGCTGAGAAAGGTTTTTTTGTATATTTAAGACATTTGTCTTAAATGTAAGATATAAATATAAGAATGTATATATAAATATAAGAGAATGATTGGTCTGTTTTCTTGGGTATTATAGCCCTAAAGCATAATGAAGTCTTGATGAAAGTCTCAATATAAAATGAAGATAAATTTGATTAAACATATATCCCAAAGATATAAGTTATATTTGGATTATGTAAGTAACAAAATGATCCAACTGTAAATATCCTTGTGTGAATAGGTATGTGAGAACTCTTTTATTTAGTAAATGATGCACCTTCTTGAGCAGCAACAACCTTAATAGGTCTCTTAACTTTTAATAATTTTGGCTCATTCTTCATTACAGAATTACTTCAGGATATTTCAGTGTTTTCTTATATGGATAGCATCCTGCTATAAATTTATTTTAAAAAAAAAAGTAAATCTGCTTGTATGTTTACGATAATGGATTGTCATGCTGCATGACCGACTTTTGGCTTATCTTCAGCAGATGAGTTTATACCCTGACAAAGTCCATCAAAATTTGATGATACAACATCAAATCCATGATTCCATCAACGATGGCAAGTCGTCCAGGTCCTTAGGCAGCAAAGCAATCCTAAACCATGATACTCATACCATGAAGTTTGGCGGGTTCTGTTGGAAGTCACTGCATGATTTTCACTACACAAAATATTTCTCATTATAGACAAGATTTAGTCTTGTCTGCCTAGTGAGTGTTCTTCCAGTAGTTTTGTACATCCGGAAGCTCTTTGGTGAACCTGAGATGGGCAGCAGTGTATTTTTTAGAGAGCAGTGGTTTCCAATGAGAGTAATTTCTGTTCAGTCTTTTCCCAATGGTTAACCCAGGTACACTACAGTGAGAGTGGTCTACAGATCCTTAAATGTGGGATTGTTTGTAACTTCCCAGATGTTTTTCTCTTGGGGAGATCTTGGCAAGACAATCAGTCCTGTGTAGTCACTGTAGTCTTGAATATTTTCCAACTGTACCCAATCTATCTCACAGCAGAGAGGTGAAACCCCAAATGTTTAGAAATGATTTTGTAACCCTCTCTAGACTGATGAACGTCAACTATTCTTCTGATGTCTCCTGATATCACTTGAACATAGCATGATATGCTACCCCTTACCTGAAAGATGAACACCAATTTCACAAAATTTCTGACCTTTATATACGTAGAACGGGGTTCACAGTTTTTTTGGGCATTGTGGTGGAGCTCATCGTAAACAAGGGCATTTGAAGTCGAGGCGATCAGGTAAGGAAGAGGCACCACAATAATTATAAGAATAGTAATGTACTACACAATGGTACTGTATTTGTGAACAGAGCTTAAACGCAAACACCAACAGAGATCTACTGTTAGGATAAAAGTGAATAAGGGCTGCAACTGGGATTGTTTTCCTAGTTTTCTGTTGATTTGGATGCTTTAACATCTAATGAAGCACTCTATAGTACTCTTTAGAGTTAGGTGCCATGGTGGCATTTGAAACTCGGATAGCCCATGATAATAGTTTTGTAGATCCCAATAATGCTCAGAGACCATGCTTTTCTTGACTTTTCAAGGGATCGACAAATGTAGTGGATTTTGTAATAAATTTCCAAATTCTATTGACATTGTTTTTTTTGGTGCAATTTTAAAGATTTGTACTTAAAATTAAGCTCAATTACAATCTACAGACAAGCCGGAAGATAGTGTTCATATTTCATATTAAGTATTCCATAATGCATGCTTGCATATCTGCAAAAGTGCCACCATTACAATGAAATCAGCAGAACATTGCAGAAAGTCATTTTAAATGCACAATGGTGAAGTTGCAGAATATGAATTAGACAAACAGCTTGTACTTTGTAACTTAACAGAATACAAATTTGGAGAATGTGCATCTGGTAAATAATTCAGAATACAAACTCCTTGACTTTAAGTTCTGAGATACAGTACATCAGTAGTCAATTCTGTTAGTTTTCCCTGTATAGATAATAGGAAATGTACATAAAATGGATAATAGAAGACTGAATTGCTCCTCTGGAAAACTCATGAGATTAGTTGGTTCAGACTTTTCTGACTTCAACAGAGCAGGTTACAACCATCTTCAATGCCGTTTCCTGACGATTTTCAAATGATCTGAATGTTTGAGGTACAGACTTTGTTTCCATGCAGCACCTTGAAGAAGGATCCACAAAGAAAGTTGGTTTACACTTACAAAACAAATGCAAATGTTCCCTTTGAATGCCATTTGTATTGATGCTCTGGTAGTACTGAATGAGAAAATGGAAAGCATTGTTCATTTGTTCGGGCAAGGCTTATCCTTTATTTCAATCTGTGGATGTGGTGATTTATATGGCATTGCTTTCATTTGCCATACGATAGCAGGATATCAGTCTGCTGATTTCGGAGCCAGGGGTACACTGGAAAAGTATTTTAAACTGTTGAAATATTAGTATATTTGTATATACAACTACATATAAAACATCCTGTCACATTTAATACAGGAAACGTGGATATAGCCACTGTAACCTATTTTGAAGTGTCTTTATATGAAGATCTACTGTAAAAAGCTGCCTTGCATAATACTTTTGGTTTGTATCTGGGTTACTTTGATGTATATATGCAAGCACACATTTCCCATAATCATAGTGGCCATTAATCATTATTTTAATACTTAAAAAAAATGTTTTTAACATTTAATTGTATATGTTCTCAGCCATATTCATGATAATGTTTGTCCATAAATATTGCTGTACCTTTTATATTTACCGATATTTGATATTTACTGACGTCACAGTGTGCATTGTATGTTCTGGATCTTAAATTCAGTAACAAAAAATAAGTATCATTCATATAAGAATAATAAATAACTGGTTTTCTTCTTTAAACGTTTTCCAGGAAAAAAAAGTTTCTACAAGTATCAAAAGTACACTCTAGCGGTGGTTCACGGAACAGCAGACATTTTGACAGACGTTGGCAGTGAGAAAAACAAAGAGCACCCTTTGTCTGAAACAATGCCAGTCATTCAGATGAAAATTCTTCATTAATCTACAAGTAGCCGTAGAAAGTGATCAGAGAGAATACATGAGCTTCTTATGAGCGGGGAGCCAAAATGCATGTGTACGACTACATATGTATCATATCCAAGGAGTTTATTATGCCTGGACCTTTTTTGCTACTATCGATGATGAATCAGTGTTTTATCAATTTTGAAAATTGTAATTATATATAGGGTAATATAATTTGGACTAAAATAATGTTAAAAAACATTTTATATCTGATGTGTGACAAGACTATACATTAATTTTATAAGTAATTTCCTAGTTTAAAAACGGTTTTGGAAGTAGCAAAACCATTTTATTATCCATCGCTATTATTATACTAACGAGATTATAATACTGTGATTTTTTAAGGAATGATTTCCACAGGGGAAAAGTTACACTGGCTCAATATACCATTAAATAGGTGTAGTATCTCTGATAGTTTAATACCCTCCCACCTCCTATAGAAGCTTTAAAATCAAATAATACGATTTTATAAGCATCATACAGTATGCATGTATCTGCAGCAAAGACTGCTGCTGGTCTATTCGCATGTCTGTTGTTAGAAGAGTACTGCTGGTGGTTATATATTCATCCAACAGCCAGTTTGGTATGTGGGGTCAACAATGTCTTCCTTATTGAGGAGTACATGACTATGCCCCCCAATTCATTGATATATCGTTTTGTTACAGTAAGACGTGTTTGATGTTTGTACGTGTTATGTTGGCCTTTTCTGTTTTCAGAACTTAAAAATGACGGTAATCTATACCTAAGCAACATATAAATGCCGTGGACAAATCCATGAACGTGGCTAATTTACAAAGGCTTACTGTGTTTGTAATGAGCTGTCAAGTCTTGCAAGTCTATTGATGCACACCATCAATGTGAAAAAAATATCGACATCACAAAAAACCTACAAACCCATTTCCCTCGAAAGCAATTGGTATCTAGTTGCACGTGTAGTGAGAGCGAGGAACTTAAATGAATGGGAAATAAAAAAAATCCTGACAAATCAGCAGCTACCCCCTCATCCTGCGACAACATCGCACTGCATCCTTTCTCCCTTCTATTTCAGGTCCAAGCGGCGACGCAGTTGTTCGAGTTACCATAGCAACAGCATCCGGCGCGTTCGTTCTCCTCTTGGATACACATCCTCAAGCGGGCCTTGCGATTGGCTGCCACCTAACATGATGTCACCACTGCAGGCATCGAATCAAGGGAGTGCAGTCTGCACGGGCGGAAATCCAACCCACCGAGTTAGCGCTGGTTTTCTTGTGCATGTCAGCTACTGAGCCGTGGGCGAGGTTTACGGCTAGCAAAGGCGCGTATTGGGCTCCGTGCACATCTGTCATGAGGGAAAAGCCCAGCCTTCTGCCTGCTACGGAAGCCGAGAGGAGGCTGGCTGGTTACGCGGCGGTGGGTCTCCACCCGAGAGTATGGCGGCTAGGGTAGTATTGGTGTGAGAGGGAGATAGGGAAAGATGAACGAGAGGATGGAAAAGAAGCACAGAGACTGAACTTATTTTATTTACTTTTAAGGAAACGTTTATTTTTTTTGCCTTGTTTTTTTCTATCCCCTCTGCGGTGACCCGTTTGCCGTGTCTTTCTCTAGTGGTTTTGCTGGGAGCGTCCTCGGTTTTTGCAAGTTTTGTTTTTATCATGCTTCAGAATGGTTTGTTAAGCAAGTGAGAACTTGCAATTACAAACTTGTACTGGCCTTTTCCCTGCCTTTGGATCATATCTGGAAATTGCAACTGCAGAAATATTTGTCACTGGCTGCTTTTGCCTTTTTTTTTTTGCAATGAAGTCCTGTTTGAGGCGGCTACTCTTTGTGTTCTGGTTGTAGCTATGTTTCCTATATAGCACCACAGAGGGTATAGCTATATATTTTATTGTAGCTTGCAGAGATAATGGAACGCAAGTTTTAAGTTGTCAATTTTTTGGAGAATTTTGTTTTACGGTTTTCATTTTTTGTGTTTAAATGCCGACCGGAGACTGATAGCTTCGCTGGTTTTATTCACCTAGCTGTATACATAACTGTATTTCCAGCAATTCTGAATCGGTAAGCGATGCGCGAGTATAAAGTAGTAGTTCTGGGGAGCGGCGGAGTCGGAAAGTCCGCCCTGACTGTACAGTTCGTGACTGGGACCTTCATTGAGAAGTATGACCCGACCATCGAGGATTTTTACCGCAAGGAAATTGAGGTGGATTCGTCGCCTTCTGTACTGGAGATCCTAGACACTGCTGGCACCGAGCAGTTCGCCTCTATGAGAGACCTCTACATCAAAAACGGGCAGGGGTTCATTTTGGTTTACAGCCTTGTTAACCAGCAAAGTTTCCAAGACATCAAGCCCATGAGGGATCAGATCATTAGAGTGAAAAGGTAAAATATGCCAAGAAAAGAAATAAATACCTGTCGGTGCATGTCTGTCTGTCTGCGTGTTAAGAAACGTAAATTGTGAGTTCCAGCTGCTGCATTTCATTATCAAATCGTTATTGCCCACATCAATCTGCTGTCAGCTCGCATGTGCGCGAATGACAACACTGGTTACTCTTTCAAATCTAATGGTAGTTGCAAGGTTATTGGAAAATGAATTAAACTGCATTCATTGGCAATGTTAAACAATAGCATCCGAACAGGGTGTTCCCTTGATTTCCTTGCAGTTAATACATGCTTAGGCTCAACATTCAGGAAAGAGATCCTGTTTCTTGGGGAACTGTTAGGAGGTATTCCATTAAATCAAGTTGATTATTAGTCAGTGGTTAGGTTTGTGTCTGGATGGTTTTCAAACTCCTGGAGAGTGGATTTGTGTGGTATTAGATTTAAATGTGAAGTTCAGACAGCTTATAGCCTTTCCCCTTCCCAGTACAGATAGTCATTGTTCTTGGGTAGTGGCAGGAAGTCTTCAGTGTTTATTCCCAGGGTGCAATAGACTAAAGTCAGAGGGAGGAAATGGTCAAAGAGATTTCGTACAGTATGTAGGGGATCTACAGGTTAACCAGTCGTATAATGTATGTAATGAGTACACAATGAACAGCACAGATCCCACATTGAAGTGAACAGGTTTGAGCTGACTGGATGTTATAGCATTGAGTTGGCTACATAACCCGCATTTGTAACATTCATGGAATTTTTTTCCCCATATTGGGGCATCGACAAAACTCATTGGCGGAGCTTTCGTTACTCTTAAATGAAGGAAATGGCAAGTTAACAGTGGCTGGGAGGAGGGAGGAGATGAACCGCAGCCGGGGGGAGTTGGGACCTGCTGTGTGAAGACATACTGTAGGTGCAGTGCCAACAGGTAGACTGTTGGGCAGCATGCAGTGTCTGGTATGGCCAATGTGCTCTGCTGCTCTAGTCTCTGCACAGCAATCTCCTATTGAGTTCTGTGTGTTTCTGATGCCACACTCCAACAAGCATCTGATCATTCCTTCAGTGCAGGAGGAACCACTGTAGTGTTCACACTGTGGTAAGTGATGGTTGCCACCCTTCCTTGTTCTAGCATTGCGTAAAATAATGAATAGGGTTATAATTTATATACAATTAAGCTACACTGTTTTTCTCTTTTATATTGTATAGCCTGGGTAGGTATTGCATTGTACTGTACACTAGGTTCCAGTCATATTACAAACAGAAGTATAACACTTATATTTTTACAAAGCTAAGGTCACATTTCAAGTGTGGCATTATGTTTTCAGAAATCTAAACTGTCATGATGCAAACCTGCAGAATAAACCTGAGTACTTATGTTTTTTTCAGGAATTGATCATGATTCACCCATTACAGACAATCAGTGCAGTGTCAGGTGTTTTTATGTTCAAATCCTTGAATTGAAAGTTTCCTCGTTTCAGCTGATGTACTTGACACTGTCTTTTTGCTTTTCTGTTTGAAGGCATTGAAATTCAACATCATGTTAATATATTAAAAGTGTTTTTTTTAGGTTGTTGTGCTATTTTGATATTGTCTTAGCTCATTTGGATGAAACCATCACAACCTAATGTTTTTTTGTGTAAATTACCTTAAGAAATGAAAACATATCAGTAAGGTTTGAAAATAACAGGTTGGACTTTTTTTAAACAAAATGGGCTGGAATATAATTTTTCTAAAACAGAAACTGCACTTTTGATAGCTAACAGGTCTTGAAAAAACACTGATGTACTATTCTAACTACTCTAGAAGACTTACTTTTGGAGAATAATCCTACTGTACCTGTGTACCCTACACCGTACCACGTGTAGAAGTAACTCTCCAGAAGACATGCTACAGATTGGAAATGTGCAATTTGAATGTACCATTACCTTAAGAGTGGAGTGTATGGTACATTATTTTTAGCGCTGAGCTCTAAAAAGTAACTTGAAGAAATTAATTTAGGCCCAATTCTATGCCCACCTGATGAACTGTACTTTATGTCAATACTATATGCGGTTTTTAAAAGTAAGCCATTACACTTGAAACAGAAATAGCGTCTGAGAAAAGGTTAAAGAGTGAACCGATATGCATCTCATTCCTTCCAGAGCATGTTTTGTTGGTAAAGCCGCCTTATATAGTATTTAATAACTGCAGCAAATGTGCTCCTCCTGATAAAGTTACATGTTATATTGCTGCTGTACTAATCCATGTTACTGCACTTATGTTGTGGGTGAGGTTTGGAAGTCAGGCTCGTGTCTTGTCAGTGTAAGACAGCAGCCCCAAAGAACATGTTTATTAATTGGGGGAAGTGCAGTGTTTCACAAGGTGGTCAGCGTAACTTAGCTGGATTGAGAATGGTGCTGATAAATACCACAAGGGCACCACACCCTGTGCCTTTGTCCACAGAAATGACCACATTATTCATGGTGTGATCTGTTATGCCTTTTGGTATGATCACTCTGGAAAGGAGAAGGATATTTTGAAAAATGAAATTTAAGAGGTCTTTGGGTAAAAATAAACGATAGCTTTAATGAAAATAGAAGCACTAGCTGAAAAGTAGTTTTTAATTCACGTTTAGATTTAGTCATTCACTGGATATATACTGATGTACACCAAAGTGAAGCATTTGCAGAGCTTTGACTATACATTATATGTGAAAATGACAGATGCCTTGTTCATATTGAGCAATATTGATTGTCCTGGTTGACCTTTATGTTGCCTTTTATAAAGCTCCTGGGATCTCAGAAGTGCATTTAAAATAGAGAACAAGAGGTACTTCTTTACCCTAAGAGTGGTGGGAGTTTGGAACAGTCTACTCAGAAATGTTGAATCTGGTTGAAATGCTTAGATCAATTAACTACTAACTGCCGTAAGGCGCAATGAGCTGAATGGACTCTCATTTGTAATCTTCCTTATGATCTAATATATGCTTTAAAAGATAAACTGTGCATGGCACAGACAGAGCTGTGCAATCTGGGTTTGAGACTGGCGTGCTCTGATCAGGATTCCACAAATTGCAATTAGCTGAACCTGCTGACGGTAGGGTGTAAATAGCCCAGGAAGAGGATATAGATTCTCTTCGTGGTACAGTGACCCTTGTAGCCTCCCGGGCAGTTTCAGCCACGTTTTACTTTCGGTGAGGGATGCACTCCTTCTCCAGAGAGTGCTGAGTTTTCCCTAGCAGGCGGGGCAGTTCCTCATGCTCCCATGTACGGTTTCAGGGTATCATAGCTGTGAAACTTGAAAAATGCACAGTAGCCTGTTCCAAATCAGGCGAGTTTAACAGTGATTGTAGATTTAAAAAAAAACAACACATGATGGAGGTAACCCACGCCTGATGTGGGACTGAGAACTGTGAAGGCCAGGACACTCCAGAAATTTCACAGGACGCATCATATGCACGTAGGACACATCAGTCCATTCTATTGCTTTGCACTGGTGCAAGTTTTTTTTTTTCCCCAGAAGTTCCAAAAAAGGCGGTTGCTTGTGCTTTCAGAATCAGAGGTTGTGCGTGGATGCTAGTCAGATGTCAGCCATAACAGGTTGGGAGTGGAAATTTGCTTCCACTAAATTGACCCAAAAGAATGAGATGAATAGAATACGTTTTCAACAGTAAAAACCTTAGAGTAATGGCACCTTACTCTCTTATTGTAAATAAAAGTAACATAGTCATTAGAAAACATAAGAATACAATTAGGTATTAAGCACAGGATTAGCCGTTTGTGAGTTTGGCACATCTGATGTAGTGGTGAGTGCACCATGCTCAAATTTGCTAGCTCACCAAAACGTAATGCAGTTGTTTTTAAAAATCTTTAAGAAACATCAGGATTCAATTAGAACACAGTAACATAAAGCCACATTTGACTATTGAAAACCACAACACGAGAGAAGAATTTTAGAATGAGGCAATCAACAGTGCATGTACACAGTACCAGTTCCAATGTTAGAGAAAAATCCCCTTTGCATATATGAAGGACAAAATGCAATCTTCACTTTTGGATCCAAAAATGTTTCTGTCTTGCCACTTAATACACTATAATGCATTTCCCCAAAAAGGGAAAAGTTGTACAGTATTTGCGTTTTTCAGACCTGTGGGAATAAAGACGACTTCATTGCCATGCCTGATGTGAATATGACACAATGTGGCTGGAGAGCGAAATTGATCTATTCCCCCAGGCCTGTGCCTCTGAATGACTGAGATCAAATCTTAACTGAAATTCAGCTTTCAATGGCGAGAAACAGATATTTGTGTATTTCCCATTTTGGGTTTCGGTGCCTTTTCGTGTTGTAAATGAGGTAGGCCTATGAGCTCATGGGATGTAGACTTCAGATGTGGAGTTCTTTTTGGATATGTGTTTTAATGAGAACCAAAAGGAACTTGGTTTTGTTTTTCATTCAAAGCTACTTAGAGGAACATAATACAAGTGGCTGTGGTTATTTAATCATGTATTACATTACTCACGACAAACAATCCCTTGTGTAAATATGCGTCGTTTTGCCATTTAGCTGTACCCTGTTGCTGTTTAAGTGTTACTATGCCTGAGTTTGATCTGAGTCAGGTGTAAGGAATGCTAGATTCAGAAGATTAATTTTTCAACTCCAGAGGGACAAACAAATGTGTGGGCTTAGGACTAGATCTTGAAAAAATATTGATTGTAACTTAACATTACTCCAGTAGTGCCTCTAAAAATAAACTAATATAAAATAAACAATGCCATTGACGTTTTCACATTGATCCTGAAACACTTGATCCTGCTAGAGACTACTTTGACTGTGTTGCTGCTCTGCAGTACTTCCGACTTTCTCTGTTTCGCAGAGCAATATGAAGTATTTGTTCGCAGCTAAACATGCTTCAATTCGTTTTCCACAGCACTAAGATTCGGCCAGTAGCCATATCACCCTGCAACTCACAACTGGCAACCTGCTGAAGCTCAGCAGGTGTGAATCTGGTCAGTACCTGAATGAGAGACCCC